TATGCCCTCCATTTTCCCTGCACTGATTCAATATCCCCAAAAGAATATCCCATAAATTAAGAATTTAAATACTCATAATTCACTCTCATGTATTCAAAATTCCTACAACTCCACTATAGATATAATACAAACTAATTCATCAAAAACACCTACCCTACGCATAATATTAAGGAAAAACTAAATGGCTCCTCCAAACACACACACACACATTTTCGTCCCTTTAGAGAACATCAAAATGTGGAGAGTATGAGACTTTATAATCCAATGATGAGTTTTACATCTACAACTAATAAAGAAGTTAATCCAACTTCAAACACCTTTGTTCCTTCTTCAGTCCGTGTTCTTTGTGGAACCAACAGGGAGCTACCTCGCTTTTCACAGCTTTATATTTTGAGCCCAACATGTAAGTTACGTTATTGCAACTCTCTCAATACTATCTAAAAAAATTCTACTTTTGAAGACTAAAATCTCATTATCGTCTCTTAGCTCATTTAAATGATTTTTACTATTACAAACATTTTCATTTTACTGCAGACAGCATTTGATTCTCCTAAATCATGTACCTTCAAGAAAAATATGTTCTCTTAGCTTGCTCTACATAAATCAGAGCGGCAAGGAAGTCCCACTATTCCTACCAATCAATATATTAACTTATCTTTCCATCTATCAATATTTATGGGGTTTTTCTTTGTTTTTGTTTCTGTTTTTGTAATTTCCTTCATTTCAGTGCTTCCCTAACAACACTCTTTTTTAAAAAACATATACTATGACATATATATTACTTTTACAAAAAATATACTCATACAAAAAAAATCTACAGAAAATTAAAATGTACACAACATTAAAATTAATATTACTTCAAAATTAATTTATTAACAAACTTTACGTAACAACCCATGCGTCGCATGGGCCAACACCTAGTATTAAATAAACATTCACTTAATGTTATGTTGTTTATATGTAAGATTGTTTGTTAGTTTTTTTTTCTTCTTGACCTTAAATGCCCATCATTAACTCAAAACGATCCATCTTTCTTCTTAATATTTTGATCAGTTTGTGTTTATTTTTCCTCATAAGCTAGTTTTATTTTCCACTACATTTATTCTTCTCTTTGTGTTTTTACCAACTTCTTTTTAATCAATTTTTGTCAAAGTTATTTTTGTTTTTACATGTTTAACATCTGAATATAAAAATTTCTATATTGAATATCCCATTTTATATATCAAGTTTTAATATATTTTTACCAATCACAAAATAATTTATTGTTTGATTTATATTATTAACAGCTCATGTAGTTATTTCTAATTATGTTTTTAATTATTAAAAATATTTAAGCGCTAAAAGATATTTTTATATGATATTTATTATACAATAATAAAATATAAAATTTTATTCGCTTATGTCCTTAAAAATTCTTGGGACGGCTCTGGTTAGTGCCCGTAAAATGCATATTTAAACATAAACATGGGAAAATAAATTATTAAATGTCAGAAGTTTTGAAAAAAAAACCAAAAAAACAATAGAAAAATAAAAAGTTTTGAAAAAAAAAACTCGAGAAAGCCAATAAAGAACCGATAAACTTTTATGGAAATTAAGTTCCATATATTCTTTTTTCTTAGCTAAATAACCTATCCGGACATTGCCGAAAAGTAAAATATGGCATAAGCTAAAGGATAGTAATGAGGATCTAAAGACCATAACGGTAACAAGTTCCGCTGCGATGGTAAGGCATTCGAAAGCAGTAGGCAAACTGTTGACAGGTTGTATCAAGCATCAACTTGTATCAAACGAAACCCTTAGTACTATTTACAAGTTCAAAGGACTGAAATTAGAACCCAATGAAGAAAATAAAAGAAGTCTTAATTTCTCATCAAGAGAAACTTAAAGAAACGAATCATTATTAAAAGACAGTTATTAAAACATAGCTCACCAAGAGGTCCCACGGAGAGCAAATAGCTACAAGACCCCTCAGAGGAGTCCTTTCACCCTCTTTCCCCAAGGTATTTAACCTGAAGCATTAAATAGATTCAGGGACTTCCTCATGCATATCAATGGTATTTGAAAAATCTAAATAGGCAAGCTACTCTTTTAGGCTGAAATCTTTTTTTTTTTTTGAATTTAGATTATGGTGCAGCCAACTGAGCAATATGCAACAGAGGGTCAATGAATAACAAAAAAATCTTCACACTTAAACATCATTCAAAAACTAAGAAAAATACTAAGGTTCCTGATTCAGTACCAGAACATTTGCTCCAATGCTAGTTCCGATAGCAAAGAGAGGAGCCAACGAGTATTTGTGTTGAAGATAACCAAGAACTACACGTATCTACTCTGTCCATCCAGCATTATAGAACCGATCTGATTGCATCTGTTTGCAACATAACAAGTTTATATAATAAATAAGCAAAACGTTTAGTAGAACATGAAAACAGAATCCTCTATGAAACTCACGGTCACTGAAACACCTCCCAATCCTCTATGGTTGCTAATAAAAATATTCCAACCTGTTTTTGCAGTGTTGTAGGCAAGATCCTTTAAATACTACAAAATCACCAATACAAGTCAATTAGACATTAAAGAACAGTCCTGGACCAGATAAGAGATTTAAAACTAGACTTGCTGTAGACGAAAAATCACTACTTAACCTTGGAATAACAACTGCAATAGGCGTTGTGTCTTCTTTTGTAATTTCACTCTGATTGTGAAGAACAGCATCAAGAACTACACAAATCAAACAGATTCAAAGATCCAAAAACAAACATATTGGTAGTGAAATCAGTCACTTAATCTTACCATCAGAATTCGTAAGCCCCAAGGAGGAAATTGTAGAACCACCAAAACTTTAAATCGTAGAATTAATACTAAATTAAAAACTGTAAAAAGCTAATATTAGTATATATATATATATATAATAAAAATTCATAGTCGGGTGTACTTCGGGTCCAAAACTAATTTACACAAACGACTAAATTTATACCATTCAAATTACCGATTCTGCAATTACGAATGTCTAAATATACAAAATAATTGTCTAATACATACTTCAGAATCTTCCAGTTATTGATGAAACATATACTTCAAATCATTTGAACATAACACAATCGTTACTTTTGTCGAACTTAACCTACTTAAAAATAATATTCATTATGTGCTAAGCACAGGTTAATATAGTATCCGATTAAAGAAAAACTTCAAAGATAATAAACTAGCTTAAAGCAATAATTGTTGCATTTGAAAACTCATTTCACATACTTTTAGTTTATCAAAAAAAGAGTGATATAAAAATTTAAATCTATATATTGACATAACGACAACACTAATACAATCACTAGAATATAAATCTTCTTCGACACATACTAATTTTGGTATACGACGGAAATTAAATATATTGTTCGATTAAAATTTGTTCCATAAATGAATTTTAGAAAACAATGTGGGTAAATAAATCTAAACACGTTAGTGAGTTAGACATTTGTTTTTTCAATGTTCAAAATTGTTATAAAGTGGTCTCTAGGCGTTCGATATGGGTCTATCGCATAGATCGATTAATAGGGGCCTAGGCGGAGCATAGGCATAAGTACATTCTTTACTTATTTTCCTATTAATTTTCATAATTTTACAAACAAACCATTTTTTATAAAATATGAAATGTTAAAAATGGTACATATTTGAACTTGTTACCTATATTCACACTTAGTTTATATAAAAACTAAAATAGCTTAGTTCCAATAAAAAAAATGAGATGAAAGAATCGTAATTAACAATTTTAGTAATCAAGTAGTTTTTTATTTCATTTATTCAAAATGACGTCATACAATAAAAAATAATCATGCACTAAATGGGCTGATTTGACGATTAGTACCGATTTAAACGTTTAAACCGGTAAACCGATTTGATTCAGCGATTTTACAAAAATCGAAGCTCCCGGAGTTTCATGAATGCCTAAGCCGATTTTTTGAATCTTAAAGGGGGTTATTGGTTCATGAATTTATAAGGAATTAGAAATCCAAACAAAAATCATTTGTTATTCAATCATTGATTTTAAAATCCTAGCTAAAATCATGTGTTATTGGTTCTATGATTTATAAATACTAGTTAAAATCCCATGTTATTCGTTTAGTCATTTGTTTTTGGATTTGAGAATCTAAATTATGTTTTAAATAGATTTGTATGGAATTGAAAGAGAAAAATAGAAGGATTTAAATCCATGGGTAAACACATGTTATTTTAAAATCCATATATCTTGATTTCATAATTAATAGAAATTTCCAAATTCTATATGAATTTACAAATTAATAAACCAATAATACCCTCTTAGTTTTTTCGAAACTATCTCAAATTATGTCAAATATTGGGTCAATGTCTCAGCATTTATGATCCATAAATTAATAAATTATCTATAGAATTAAAGAAATAAGGTTTATCCAGAGAGAGATCTAGATTCTCCTTCTTCTTTTTCTTGCCAAAATCTTATTATTATTACCTAGTCAAATTCAGATAAAGTCAACAGTCAACTTATATAAACAAGAGTTGACTTTGACTATGCTAAGCCTAAGAGCATGCACATAGGTGATACTCATAAAGTATCATTAACAATTTTTTAGTATTATTTATAATGTTTGTTTATTGTTTGAGATTTTTTATGATACTGGTAATAAATCTGTTTCCAGTGGTGAGACCGGTATCGGTATCATTAATAAAAAAGAAATTATTTGCAAAATCGAAAATAAATATATAAAAACCTAAAATTACAAAAGATAATATTACAATCTATGAAAATATTGATTTGTAACAATTGATTTTGCAAATAAGCAAAAAAAAAAAAAAAAAACGCTAAACAGAACAACAAGTTACAAGATGCCAGTCAATTTTGTTGCAATTTGAAGTTTAGATCACACGTTTGTGTGTTTCTCTCTTTTGTACAACCATGAAAAAGATTTTTCTCTTAAACATTCATATTTGCATACATGATAAGTTTACACACATTACACATACACACACAAGTATTGGCTTGGACCTCTTTTGCTTTCTCTGAATTCTGGATTTCAGGTCTTGATGGCATTTTAGGTGCTTGTCTTTTGCTTTCTCAGCCCAACAAAGAGAATCAGGGGTCAAGTCATCAACAGAGTTCACAGCTTCTCCACCACATGCCAAAACCAAACGTTCCATGTTCCTCCTCTTTGCTCTTCTAAGAGCGATTATCTGGAGATACATATAAACATATATAAGGAAACAGAATGATAATTCGATTGTAACAACTTGTATACACAAGAAACAAGGTACAAGACAAGAGACAAGCTTAGTGGAAGATCCATGCATATAAGAGATTCTAGGTGAATCTGTCAACAAAAACAGAGACTCTAATTGCCCTAAAATTAAAGAACCCTAATAAGAAATTTGCCATCATCAGTGTTACAGTGTTGTTACAACAAATATATACAAGAACAGATATCAATCAAACAAATTCTAAAACAATTTTGCAGTCAATTTTTAACTAATAATCGCAAAAAAAGCTTTTCATGTTCAAGAAATTGAAGAATAACGAGTGAATGTTATCTACACCTCTGAGTTCCAGTAATCCTTCAATAGGTTTATACATTGCGATACTACTAATATCGAATTTACCATCATCAGATTGCATCATCGACTCCATCAAATTCTCAGACATCCATCTCTGTAGCAAGTCAAAGCACAGCTACAAAAACCAATCCCCAATGAAAATCAGATTAAACCTCATCGCAACAATCACAAAGAGAGAAGAAATCATCGTAAACTTTCAAAACTCACTGTACTCTCAGCTAATCCAAGCTGAATAATCCCGTCCGTGTTCTTAATCCGATCGTACGGATCCGTCTTGACTCTCTCCAACCCAATGTAATAAGGCGAATCGGAAGGTTTCGCCAGAGGAACAGCTCGAGAGGAGACTCGAACTCGTCCGATCGAGTTTCCACGAGAGAAGAGATTAGTCTGTGACGACGTTCTCGGTAACTCCGTCGGGTTGGAGGGAGGAGGACGGGATCGTTTTAGGTAAAGCTGGAGAAAGTAGAAGAGACAACAAGGAATGAGAGAGCCGACGAAGACATTTTTTTTTCTCTATTTTCACCAAAAATACATTCACGGTCGAATAGCCTTCTGCCACATCATCTGATACTAAGTCTCACAAATATCAGTCCACTGATACGGATCAGACCCAATTATGTGGTTTTATCTATTAAAAATTGTTTTTGGGCCAATGATACTGAGAAAAGATCACCGGTGTACATGGTCTAAGGGACATATGTTTTTCCTTATTGTCATTAAACATCACGGACTTGCACTTTCACGGTCTAAAACAAGTTATATATTTTGTAATTGTAAATTTGTAATGATAATAACTAGTGATTTTTATTAGAATATATTAGCTTAACGAAAAATTTAAAGTATTTTGCCAGAACTTTAAATCATTAAAAATTAAAAAATATGAAAAGGTCAATAACATTTGAGAAAAAGTATAGCAACTTTGGATAGAAAGAAAGAAAAAGAAAAGAGAAAGAGATTAAATACAAAAAACACAAAAAAAAAAAATCTATATTACTTAAATATGATTCTATGATGAACAAAAAAAAATTCTTTTATTAAATTCCAAGGAAGTGAATCTTCGTCACCTTCCTTCTCTTCTGTGCCGGAGACGGTGGCCGAGGAGAGCAAAGTGTTTCTCCGTTGTAGCATTTTTATTTTCTAGTTCAATTTCTTTTTGTTTTATTAAAATCATTTTTTATTTTTTAGTAAGTAAATAATCAAATTTTTGAAGTGTTAAAAGAGAAAATAATAAACAAATTTCGTATTTAATTTTCGATATAAAATAAAAAATTATAATTAATTTAAATAGAAAATTGGTCAAAACTTCTTTTGGTATAAAATCTTTTTTTTTTTTGGTCAAAAATTTCTTTCCATTTTCTTTCACTGTTTTCTACAAAAATTGATTATCTCGTCTGTATGTTCTAAAATCTTCTTTATTTCTTTTCCATTTTTTGTTGGAATATCTTTTTAAGTTTTTGTCTTAATCTCAGTTTCATTTTCTGACAATGTCGCAGTTCTTTTTAAGTGATTTTTCTTGTTCTTGTTTTAAGGGAAATAATTAAAATGGATAGGCAGATTATACTCTGCGATGGCTTCGAGGTGGTTCCTCCGCCCGAGCCGCCCGTGATGAACGAGCTAATTCTCTCCGAAAGCGACCAATCTGTGTCAGATTACGAGATCACCACCGACGAAGAAGACACTGTTTTTTCCGGTGATAGTTCACCGGAAATAGGAGCTGATGAAGAGTATTGGCATGGAGATAAACCTTTCTCTTTCTACTTTGTTAAGCAACCGGTTTTCGATGATCCCGAGATCAAAGCCAAGATCGATGAAGCTAATGAGGAGATTTTTCATTGTAATAATCTCCGAATCGATGTCGTCAATGCTAAGAAATCCGAAAAGGTGAGTCTATATTTTATTTTATTAGCCTTTTTTTTTCCTCTTTGACATTTTTTTATTGACAAATCCGCGACTTAGTGGGATCGAATTCCAGTGGAAAGGTAGAGTCAATTGGAATAAAGATGCATCCCTTTTTATTTTATTAGCCCTTTTTGTTTTGTTTGATGATTAATACATTTTTAACTGTTGATATGATTTTGGGTTTTTTTTGTAGGTTGAGATTTCGTCTTTGTTTGCTCAAATGAAGAGTTTGGTTCCTAAATCGGAACAATATAGAGTGATCTTTGAAGAGAAGAAGAGGGAGTTTGATACTCTACTTGAAGCTCTACGGAATCTCCGGTGCTCTACTAGTGATCAACTTTGTTTTTCAAAGGAGGAACTAGATCATCTTGTAATGACGACACTGTTTATCTAACCATTTGATCATTTAGTTAAAATTCGGTTTTTAGGTTTTTGATTGTAGAAGTGTTTGTTGTGGTGTATGCAGATTTATATAGCTCATTATCAGATTGCATATGGTAGCATTGGTTTGGAGGAAGACGATTGGGAGCTTAAAGAGACCGAGAAGGTTGATGGGATCATTCTAAGTGAGGATTCTCTTGCAGAGAAAGAAGCTTCTATAAACCGTGTCAAGGTAAACTCTATTCAAAGCTTAACCTCTTTGGTTGATTTGCTAAACCATTGTTAAATCTTATGTTGTGAGGGTTTTTTTTGCCTCATCATCAGTCTATGGTTGTGGAGTTAAATGAAGTAAAGAATGAGGTCGATGCGATTACATGGAAGATAAACCACTTGAATGACAAAATGGGGAAGAGTCAGAATAATATTAGGGGTTTGGATGTAGAAATGGCACACATTCTTGAGAAGAGGGACAGATCCTATGAAAGGATTAAGATGCTGAGGATACAACGAGACAAAGGGGTATGAGATATGTCTTTCTGTTAATTTTGCTTGTGGGTGATCACAAAGATCTAATAAGATTTGGTATGCTTCTCTTCTTTGTATAGAATGCTGCATTTTTCCATAGCCTTCTTGTTATGAGTAAAGCTAAAGAATTGGCTGCTTCTGGAAATGTAACAGAGCTTGAAGTGTTTGCCAACTCTGAGGTTTGTTTGTTTGTTTCGCAAGATTGATTGATTCGGTGTCTTTTTTTGAGATTTGAGCATTTGTTCTTGATTTTTTTTTTATAGGTTGATAGATTCATGACTCATTGGAATGATGACAAGGCTTTTAGGGAAGATTATGTAAAAAGAATCTCGTTTTCACTCGGTGAAAGAGAACTGACCGAAGATGGCCGGATTAAAGATCCTGAGGTTCAGATCTTTTGGGAAAGGCAAGTGATGGTTAAGACTATGAAGGGAAGCGAGAATGTTCAGAAGACGAATAGAGAAGATTCCAGCTCCAACTTGTCTCAAGATGGAATGGTAATTACACATAAAAGAAAAAAAGAAACGAAGAAAAAGGCGATGGATTTCGACATGTCGAGTGCTGAGGAGAGTGATGTTATAGATATGGAATACCCGGTGTATGAGAAACCAAAGAAGGAAGAAGAAGTGGTCGATGAAGAAACTTTGAAGGAGAGGGAAAGAGAAGAGAACTTAGAGAAAGCCCGATTAGCAATGGAAAGGAAGAGGAAGCTGCAAGAGAAAGCTGCTGCTAAAGCAGCTATAAGAGCTCAAAAGGAAGCTGAAAAGAAACTCAAGGCAATTATATTATCTGGTTTCCATTTTTTCGATGTCTTATTAACTCTCCCATTTCGCTTGTCTGTTTCTTATTTCTTTGTTTTGTTTTCAGGAGTGTGAGAAAAAGGCGAAGAAGAAAGCTGCTTCAAAATCAGACCAATCACGAGAACTAATCAATGAGGAAAAGGTTAGGACATGGAAAGAGAGATCGTTGTTTAAATGGAGAGAAGTTTCAGGTACAAACACCGCGGAAGAGAAACACCAAAAGGAGAGATCGTTGTTTCCAAAGCAGAGAAGTTTCAGATACAAACACCGCGGAAGAGGAACCGAAGCTCTCCCTAAGGCCATCCTAAACCGTAGAAAGGCTCGAAAATATTGGGTTTGGGGACTTTCGTCTGCTGCACTTGCTGTCGCGCTCTTCCTTGTTGTTTTACTTCTACGGTAAACTTGAAAAAGGAAAGAGGCATTAAAAAGGTTTTGACTTTGCCTAATTGGAAGGATAGAGCGTGGTCGTGTCTTAATCAACCTATATAGCTCTATATATGTGCATATCTTATGTAATTTGGATGCTTCATCTTTGAAAATTAAAAAAGAAAAAGAATATTTAACTAATATTAAAAGTTTTAGGGCAAACATAGAACAAGCTGATACAATGTACAATGTCCAGGCTTTCTTCAAGTAGCCAAAGATTTTTCATTAAGTGATTAAGAACAAAATATTTCCATTTTAAAGATTTGATATAAGAAAAAAAAAAACTAAAAATTTAAAGGCCAAAGTCTTCAAAATCTTTCAAAAGTTTGTTAGATGTTCGCAAAGTTTGTAGATATCCGTAAAGTCTGCAAAATATCCATAAACTCTGCCAGATACGCATAGGATTTGCCAAAAGTATGCACGATGTTTGTAAAATCCTCCAAATATCTTTAAATATGCCAAGTATTTGGCAAAGTTTAACAGAGATCCTCAAAGTTATAATCAACAAAATTTAGTGTTTGTGAAGTTTGCCAAATATCCGCAGAATTTGCAAAAAAAAAACTACAAAGTATGTTAGCTATTTCGCATAACATGCCAAATATCCTTTAAAAATGCCAATTATTATTCTACAATCTGCCAAATATATACAAAGTTTGTCAAATGTTCAATATTTTGCAAAGTCTGCTAGCTATTAGGGTTTGTAAAATATTTACAAAGTCTGTCAAATATCTCCTAAATTTATAAAATGATCGCATCATCTATCATAAAGTTTTCCTTATATCTGAAAAATCTACCATATGTTAGTGAAGTCTGCCAAATATCCACAAAGTTTACCAGCTATTTTGTAGAGTTTGCCAAATACTGTATATGCAAAGTTTACCAAATGCTTGTAGAATTTCCCAAACATCCGTAAAAATTATCTAGAAAATTTTTGAGTTACTCCACATATATGTGAAGTTTACTAGAAATTTGGTGAGTTTGTGGTTTCTGCGTTGCACGCACATGAGAAATTTTGATTTTGGGAAAACGAAAATTATTCAATAAGTTATATGGATCACCATAAACTTTGACTCTTGGAATTTTAGGGTATGATTTCGTTCTTCTTTCACCATGATGTTTAAACGAATAAATCCACAAGAATAATAATATTCTTAATAAACTTACAAATAATTCTCTAGGAAATTATAATTAAATCTAAAAGCAAAAACGAAATAAATCTCAAAACATTGTTTCAATGATCAAAGTCGTTTTTAGAGAACTAAAGATATTTAGAATTTGGAGTACTAAAAGTAAGGTCGATGATTTTTTTTTCTAAATTAATTGAAAAAAGTAAATTAACCCCTAAAAAGATAAGATGGTTTTTAATTCTTGAAGAAAAGTTTGTTTACCCATTTAATATATATATCTATATATATATATATATAGATATATATATATATATATATATAGATCCCTTTTTCTTTCTTTTTTAATTATTTCAGTTTTCAAAACAAATATTATTTTTGGCACAATATTAATGTTATGAGATACTGTACTATTAATTTTTGGATGCATATTATTATGATACATTTACTAAGGCTACTTTATATTTATGATTCTTTGAATCATTTTTTGCAAAGATTTTCCCTGCTGACTTCTTTATTAATAAAGACAGGAACTATTGCCAAATGGCAAGTGAAAACTATTAATAGTAGTTGTATTATTTGACCCTCCAAAAAAACAACATTAAATCCTTTTTATATGGTTAACGTAACATAATATAATATCACTAACGAAACATAAAAACTTTAACAAATTGGAAGGACTTACATTGTGATTTCAATGGATATTTTTGTGAGTTTTGTTGTGTTTATAGTTTCAATGTTATCTGTCGAATCTACTATACATATGAAATCCATCAAGGTAAATTGAAATACATATACAATACTGTGATCTTCTTTAGTGTTTAATATTTACTTTTTGTGATTTTTTTCTTGTAGTTGAGTGAAAATGTTATTTACGACTGCGTGGATATTTATAAGCAACCATCTCTTAGTCATCCATTGCTCAAACATCATAATATTCAGGTATCTTGTTTTGCATTTTTCTTTAAATCTATTTTTTGATTAAAAAACATGAAATATATATATATATATATATATATCTGTATGGATTTTGGTCATCCTTTATTATTAGGAAGTCTTTTGCGATCGTTGTGATTGTTGGGAAGTCTCCGTTAACAAATCTCTAAGATTGTTTCGATTTTTCTTAGAGTCGATCATATGTTCATTCTTGTTAACAAACTTAACAATTATATATTACAATAGATAAACAAATCTAAAAATAAACATTGGCATTATATACCAAACGTGAATTATATCTTAGTTATATAGTATGTTAAGTGAACATCATACTTACGTATGTTTTTTTTTTTTTTCATATTAGATGAAACCAACCGGATGGGATTCTCAATCAGAGAATAAATTCGCAGACAGAAAACACAAAAACAAAATAGAATGTCCAAATGGAACCGTTCCTATTTTAAGAACTAAGAAAAAACATGTCATACAATCTCAAGGATACCCCATCAATAATTTTACCGTTCTTACAGCTAAATATCCAGGTACCCATGTAAGTATACAATTTTATATTTTTCATTAAGATATATTAGATATTAAATCATCACCCATATACTACGAGATTTTAAGATATATATAATTATTTTGAAATTTATATTTTATTTAAAACCCCAAAAAAAATATTTTTAAGAAATAGTGTAGCTAAGAATAAATCTTATGTCAAGATCCATTGGTGCAAGTGGCATTGCCATTTCTGCAGATCTTTGAGCACAAGAGTCTTATTAATTGGGACCTGATACATAAAGGGTCTTTTGTCTAAGAGGATGCACCTAGGCCCATAAATGTTTTTGTCAACAACAACATAAAGGGTTTTACTAATCTCTAGATTTGGCATTTGTATGATTTGCACTTGTTCTTTCATAATTTTACTTTTTGTGTTTCAAAATTTAAACTGATTCATAACTTTTAAAATTTGCCCATGAATTTTAAAATGGTAAGAATGAAAATAGAGAACTACAAAATTTTACTTAAATTCAACATTACAAAAAATTGTATATGTAAAATATTAAACACCTATCATAATCTAGAAAATTTTCACACATGGTTGAATTCTTGCAAAATGCATTGAAATTCATATAATAAGGCATAGCCAAAACATTTACATATGTAAAATTAATATGCATATTAGTCGAATTGACATTTATAGATTGCGGGAATGAAGATAGTAGGAAAACATAATTACAGAGGCGTAGAAGCAGGGCTAAGGACTTATAACTTGATAATTGATAAAAATCAAAGTACAAGTGCTCAAGCTTATGTAGCCACTGCCTCCAATGATGATGCCAATTCTATTCAAGTTGGATGGATGGTATATATATAGTTTCATCTTCTATATATATATTATTTTCCTAATTAAAGCTTTGTGGTAAATCATAAATTTCTTATGGTCGTTTACAGATCAATGAACAACTATTTGCGTTTGCCGCAACTACTTGCGTTTGCCGCAGCGTTACGCCGCAGCTACTTGCGTCAACCAAACGAACATTCATCTATGCGGCGACGAAACGAACAGCCTAAATATTTGAGAATCTTAGTAAGAGTTTTTTTTTTTTTTTTTTTGTTAATTAGACAAGAAGTATCTGCATTGTGCATTACCTTACCCAACTCTTAACATATGGACCCAACACATAAAATATAGTTGCTTTAATCCGAACTGATTTCTTGGTTTTATCTTGGTTTATCAAAAATATTGATCATGTACTATGAGAAAGTGTTTTGGGTGCAGCTACAAATCTACAAATGAGGATTAATAACAGAAATATAGAAATACATAATGTTGCAAGGATGCAAGAAGGTGCCACCGGAAGCCAAATGTTAAAGATTAAGTCTCTTGCCTCTTCACTCATAGTCATAGATAGAAGTTAATTTGGGGTATGTCGGATATTTTTTCTTTGTATGGGATATTGCGTTCAATCTTGGTTTTGGTTGATCTCATCGATCACCAACGAAAACGAATTGTGCAGAGTTAGTTTAGTTATCACAGTTTTTGACAAGTGGTTCGTTTTCTCCAACTCTTGGGATAAGTTTGGCTTGCTCTACACATTTTTAACAATTTTTCTTTCTTATCCTTTGTCGTTTAGACTAGCATTTTAAAAAAAAAAAAATTAGAAGTAAAGTTGTTTGTGTTCCAAGAAGAAAAGAAACAAAAGAAATCGAGTTGTTTAAACTCTACAACATATTGTTTAACGTTCTTTTTAAAAGTAGATTTGCCGATTTTGTCTATCGGGATTGGACAATCAACTGGAGAATTCTGGTTTAGTTTTAACTTTTAAGTGTCGTTGAAAAAAAAAGATTGCCATTATTTACTAAACTAGGAAATTGCAAAATACAAGAATATTTCAATAGGTTGCAGAATTGCAATTAAAATTTAGTGATTCGAAATCTCCATTTTGCAATACTGATAATCAAAATAAAAAGGTTACATTTGACAAGTTTTTCATTTTCTTTCATTTCGCAACTAACTATAAATACATTTTAGTGATCTTTTCAACCAAAATGCAGACTCAGTTTATACCCTATATTCATGATTATAGAATTAGCTTCAGCTTTGCCAAAAAAAAAAAAAAAAAAAAAAAAAAAAAAAAAAAAGAATTAGCTTCAGAAACAAAACATATCTTCAGTTTCATTAGAAACATTAACGCAATGGTATAGAATTACTGTCTTCCCTTGGAGACAACAAAACACCTGAAAACTCATAATGAACGAAATGCAGTTTCCAAAAGAAACATCATAGCTAAAAAGGAATTTTCAACATTAGATAATATGATGAAGCAGCTCAAATATTTGATATTACAAATACAGATGAAAGAAATTGTTTACTACCCAAAAATTAAGTCTAATAAGCATTGAGCACTGCAAGGTTACTGACCTCTGGCTCAATGTGTCACTAATGAAACTACTAAGCACTGATATTAGAATTCTAACTACTTTTCTTTCAACTGCGCCTATCCGTTGTCACCCGGAAATAGCAAAAGAGCTATCTTTAGACAAAATGCGTTAGACTGGTCATATGCACAAAACAACCAAAGCTCTGTCTATGCAATGAGCCTCAGACACACCGGTGTGGAGAGTCGAGCAATACGGCATTAGTAGTACCTGTGTACTTCTGGTTCACCCGCGATGTTCTCCACGATCTTTGAATCAGTCGGGGTGATGTTCGCAATGTGGTAGTCACTTCTCTCTTTAGCGTTAAGTTTTTGTTGACAATCTCTTCCCCTGTACCACCATTACCAAGTGGCTGGGAATGATCTATCATGTTATAATCGGGTTGTTGATCTGACTCCTCAGTACCCTCAGCTTTACCTCCACAGCCATCATCAGATAATGGCGTCTTATCTTCTAAATCACCACTTTCGTGCCTTTTTATATCAGTTTGATCCGCATGGGAATCATCAACTTCATCGGGAAGGGAATTGATGTCTATATCTGTCAGTTTCCTAATCTCTTCTTTCTCCTCCACGGACTCGTTAAATAACTTCAGATTCTCTGTTCCATTATCCCCCTCTTCTACATTCCTTAACTTCAAACAGCTATCAACTGGGTAAGAAGAGGATTCAACATCAGCAGTTGCACAATTTCGCTCATTAAAAATCAGATGACAAGGGAAACTGAGATGTACCATTGGAAGAGGACACAATTGAGTCAGTGATCTGCTCCTTCACCAATGATTTCCCCAACATGTCTACACCAGGGAACACCAACAAGTTCAGATTCTTAATTGTTTTTTTCTCTGATTCATTAACAGGCGTGAAGCCAAAGCCTGAAGTCCATGTATCAATCAGTTCTGGCACTGCTGGTATGACTAACTTGGCTACTTTGAGAGAACCGAGCGCCTGATGACAAAGCACATGAAATATGGATCTTCAGAAAAATTGTGAACAAAAGAGTCCACTGGGTTAGACAGAATGAAGTGCAAATCAAACAAAAGAAGAAGACTGAGATAGTACATAGCAGATCAAGACATATGGCACAGTAAGAAGCTTGACTAAATCATATCAATTATCCTATAAAGTCACTTTTTCATGATTTAAATCAGATTTTCTACACAAATCTATGTTTTTAGTTCAGATGTAATCTAGCAATCATTTTGTCATTTAGCATTTCATATTCATTGGGAAACATGGAAATGCTAAACTATTTCCAATATTTCTTTCTTAATGCCTGAAAGAACCTGAGAAAAAGCAGTATGATCTGTCGCCAACTAAGTAGCACCGAAACGGGTACGGGAACTAGAAACGGGTACGGAAACGGGGACGGAAAACGGCAAAATAAAAATTCATAGATACGGGTACGGCATGGGTACTTCAATAAAACATATACATATATATATATATATATATATATATATATATATATATATATATATATATAATACCCTTAAATATAAATATAAGTCTCAACATAATTTTTTTTTTGATTTAATATTCTAAATAACATAAAAAAAGCTTAATATTGAGGAATTGATTTTCAAAGATCTGGATCATCTAAAGGTTGGAAAACTCAAAGAACCTCATATCTTCCATGGAATCTTATGTTAAACCCCTAGAACATGCCTTTTAATTCCTTTTACGTTTGAGTTTTTTGTAGGAAAAATAGTTAAGTTGCCTATTCTAAATGGAGGACACTTAATTTATTTCCAAAAACTCATTGGAAACGTCCCCGTATATGTTCCCTCACGTTTCCATTTTTTGCTTGACGTCCCTAACTACTCTGAAACGTGGGGGAAACATTTTTAGGCTGTCCCCATCAAGTACCCGTCCCCGAAACGAAACTGGGACGTGAGACGGCTGAAAATTAACGTCCCCGTGCATCATAGGTCGCCAAAACCAGCATTATAGCAAAAAACATTTGAGAAAAATAAACCAAAATTTTTAATGTAAATAATCACCAAACTAATTGAAAAAAAGAATTTACGATATGGCAAGAAGTGGAGAAGACCTACAGATTCAATGCCATCCATTAGTCGACGACACATCCCTTGACGCCTGTACATATAGCGGGTTCCGATAAACGGCATTTCTGCCAGTTGATTGCCGTGGATCCTGAGTAAGAGATAAAACAATTTTATGAGAAGAAAAACTAATTTATATACACAGAACTACAGTTACTATTCTCAATTTATTGAGAGCCCAGTAACAGAGTTTCAATCAAAGACCACTTGAGACCATGTAGAGGCATATACTAAGGGAATTCTTTACCTTAGTACGACATAAACTGCTAACATGTAAATGTAGTGCGTTCTATCCAGCTTAAGAACTCTCTAACTTAGCAAAAGAAATAGTATATGATAAAGGGGTTTTCTATTATTGGGTTTACATACTACTGCCCCACTACTATGATACGAACAGTGTAATGTCTAGAAACTTATTATCCCTTGTAATCATTTTAATGATATCCCAGACATACCTGATAGACGCCACAGCAATGATTTCATCACCCCTCTCCAAAACAGCAGTGAGAAAACTGCTAAAATTTAGCCGATGGAAGTTCGACCTACAAAACAATAGGGAAAAGTTTAAATATAATCTAGTAGCTTATGGACTGTTTACATATCCATTGCCAATGAACCAATTGAACAAAACAGAAGCATATAAGGACAGGTTGTGGGAATGAACTTACCAAAAATTATAAACAATGTTTTGAAGCAGGTTGACACCACTCCTGTGATCAACCAAAGGTGAAAAGCACTCATCCATAACAGAAAATGCAACAGCCATTTTGGCATTATATGCAATCTTCTCAGATATGTCACAATCGGCAACCTCACTAGGGAGCTCAAAGCGGCGAAGGAATGACCAGGAAAAGCCCTCAGGCAGTGGGTGTTTTACTCCAATGAGTAACTGAAGTTCCTCGAATAACTATAGATAAAAAAAAGAGTAGACACAAATGTAGTCAGCGTCTAATGTAATAATATATTCGCAAATTACCATATTCATATAATAGTAATGCTATTTGTTGCCCGATAACTGTCCAAGAAATATTTTTATTCATATCACTGTAATGTGCTTAATTGTCGTTTAACCTGATGCCAACATCGAAAGAAACGATTATCAGTGTCCTGTTTTACTTTCAGCAAGACACAAAAAAGGTCTAAATTCAACTAATCTACAAATCTTGTTTCAGTAATAAAGCCCAATGATAAAAGAAAAAAAAAGAAGAAGACTACCTCTTGACAATACTTTCCACAAAATGAATCAGTACTCCTTTCACCAGGCACTGTGCCATCTTGGTTGATGCATGCTTGGTGATCTGCAAGAGTGTGAGGGTAATGATTAGAGCCTAGAAGTCCGTTTGAAGAAGTTTAACAGAGCATATACATATAGATGCAATTATTAATAAGATGGCTTTAGGGTGTAGTTCATACATTTCTCTTCACATAGGCGGCAACTCGATAAGGAGTGTAGAGCTGAAGTGTCATGTATAGCTGCCTCAACTTTCTCACAAAATTTGCATGAGCAGTTGCAACAATACCAGGCACCAGAAGGGAATTTCTGCAGTTTGGAAAGAAATTAAGTCTAGAAGAAACAGAAAAGCCTATTCAACAGATAAAAGAGCTAAATTTTAGATGGTTGATCATCCGATCATCCGATCTTCCTTACCACATATTTCACTAAACTTCAATATAATGGTTCTTAGAATACGATGGTTTTTGACCAAAAACACAGACATATCCCAGAAAACCCCTCTTTAACATAAAATTTTCACATCGTAAGGAGCGACTTACTTTTATGTCCAAGCAGCTTTGATGGAATGTTGACGGGCACCCATCACAGCAGATAAGATCTCCCCCATCCCCACAAATACCACACGTATCATCATTTGGATCTCCAGAACAAAAATCCACAAAATGATATCCTTTATGTTGTGATTCACTTTGTTTATTCATAAAGTCATGGAGGCACTGCAAGAGAGAATTCCCACCCTCTAAATACAGACTTTTGAATGGCTGGTTGCGCTTCCCTCCAGCATGAACCTCGAAATCAAGAACAGAGAACACTTCATCGCAGCAGTTGCATCGAATACCCTCTTTTGTAATTATTCCTTCAAGAAGCATGTCAGTCTTCTTGCAGTCCATGCACTGAACTTTTCCGTTAAGTGGCACAATGGTTGAATCAATCATCCAACCCAGCATGGTGCGTTTCCCTTCAAATAAAATGTACCCACCGTCCTTGGCATCTGCATCCTCTAAAGAACTACGTGCTGACGGAGTACAACGCTTTCTATTATGTTTTTCTTCCCTCTTTATTTTTCTGACTGACACCGAAATTCTTTCTACGTTGTGGTATCCATGATCCCCTTTTCGTTTGTTCTGCATTATTCCCTTCAGCAATCTGTTTCCATGTAGTGAACGTTTTCCCCTTCCCTTTGTTGAAACCACGTTTTCATTAGTATCTCTGTCCTTCAGTTTTGGCCTATGCTTACCTGTATCGCTCCTTTTTTTCTGAATTCTTCTCCCTAATAGGTGAAGGTCCTCTTCTGGTAGCAAGCCACAACCAGAACCAGTGGTAGAGTTCATTTGATCATTCATGCTGCTTTCCAAATGTTTTTTGTAAACTTGATAAGCCTTAGTCACTGACCAGTGAGTCTTTCCCTCAGGATTAAGATACACAGCATCTTCATAAGCTCTCCCATTTCGGGGCCTATATTCGACAGTCCAACCAGCAGCTAGAAGTAACTGCAGTATTCGGTCACTCAGCATTTTCTTAGACTTTGATCTAGATTGTGTTCCAGCTTCAGTTTGCTTATTGTGTTGTTCCCCAATCATCCTTTCGCCATCAATTGAGGAATTGTTGTTCTGTGACTCTAAGGGACTCTCACAAAGTTTCAGTCTCTTCTTTTCTTTACAAACTGATTCATCTGTCATCCCCGATTTCCTCTTTTTCTGTGGTGTTGGAGGTCTTCCACGCTTACGTACCATCTTCTTTCCATCAGATTCAGGTCCCTTAGCCCTGCAGTTTCTTTTTGATCTCCTGGATTCATCAATAGAGTCACTCATACTCTGGTCAGGCATTATTAGGGGGCTCCCATGCATACAGTTGACATTGTCCTTTTCTATGTAAAGGCCAACCGCCGTCTCCTTGGTCTTAGAGGGTCTACCACGCCGACGACTCAAACTGATCCTGTCAACACTCGACGGGCTGCTTAATTCTGGAGTTCTCGCAAGTTTACAGTTTGTGTTAGGGCGACTCTCATCAGATTGACTGCTGATCTGCAACTTTCTAGGCCTTCCCCGTTTACGTTTAACTTGCAGCTCTTCATCATGTGGCTTGACACTCCCACCACATTCATCATCCTTGGTTTCAATCTTAACCTGGCTCCTAAAATCAGGTCCAGGAATCTCTTTAGCTTCAGCATATTCCCCGTGCTCAAGTTTTACTTCTACTTTCTCCTTGTTAAAGCAGCTTCCGCCAATAAGTTTCGCATCGTTATCATCTCTTACCAGTTCTTCCTTCTTATCTAAAGATGTCCCAAGTTTACAGTTTGAGATTGACCCGTTATCATCAGATTGACTGCTGATCCCAAACTTTCGAGGCCTTCCTCTTTTGCGTTGAACTTTCACTTCTTTTCCATGGGGCTCAAAACTCCCATTTCCATCATCTGATCTGTCATCCGTAGATTCCACTTTCACTTGACTTCCAAAATCATCTCCACAAATCTCCTCAGGTACAGGAGATTTCAAATGCTCATGTTCCACTTCTTCTCTAACCTCATCAACAGAACTTCTGCCACTAACTTTACCCATCTTGTCACCCTTATCAGCACACTTTCCTTTCTTTTTCACAGCCTTACAATGTTTATCACTCTTTACCAGATCCTTTGCCACAGAGCCTGAGCGAAGAACCCGCCGCGTAATGAGAATTTCACGCTCAATCGGCTTAACCTTCACTTTTTTCTTATCCTTAATCTCACTAACATTCTCCACGTTACCATCTTTCGGAGTTCTCTCCATCACATCATCAACCAAGCTATCAGTTTCACGCTCAGATTCACTGAAATCTTCAATTGAAGCACACTCGTTTAAATCAAAACCCTTTTTCTTTTTGGTTTCAAACATCTCTTCAATTTTTGACACAATGTTCTCAAATCTCAGTCATATAGAGAGACCCCTACAGCCAAAACTCACAATAAATCAAAAAAAAAAAAAAAAACTGACGAATAATTCCAGTAACAATAAGCGCAATCGAACGATAACCAGATCGAGAAACAATACGAAGAAGAAATTCAAAACCCTAATCAGAAAACGGAACACATAACCGTACCGGAGAAATTATAATATCAAGCGCGCTCCAGCGAAAATCAGACGGAGAAACGGAAGGAATCAGAGGGGGAAAAGCGAGAGAGACGGAGGAAGATTAACGAATCAGCGACGGAGATTCACCGGAGATTAGCATTGTTGGATCGGTAGAGAAGGAAGAGACGAACACTAAACGATCTTCTTCCTCAAGGGTTTAGCTTTGGATGTGAAAGTGGGAAGAGAAAGGGTTTTTAATATTTTTTGGGGATTTTATTTTATTTTATTTACTTGAGAGAAACATGCGCGAATCGAGAAATATTGCGATATAATTGTGTTTAGGGGTAAATTCGTCATTTATTGTTGTTGTTATTGGTAACGTCGTTTTTCCCTCCATTTTATTTCCGGGAAATTTTATTTTATTTTAAAATTTTGAGATAAGCCAAAAAAGACTAATTTGCTTGCTTTGTAGTTAGGATTAGATCAGTTTGGTTTGGTTAGTCTCGAATCTTTGAGTTTTTAATTTACCATTTACTTACACGAAAAAAAAAACCTGGTTAAGACAAACAAGAAGACAAAATTTACTTGGGACGTAAATATTCTTAAAACCTGTTTTGTGTGGAATTTTAATGAAAAGGGTAAAAAAAAAATGATGTTACACTCGATTTCGATCACTAGATGAGGTTTTTGTTTTTTTACATTGAGTACTCATTTTCTCACTAATTGGGTCTAGATCAAATTTGGCATTAGATAAATTTTGGATTTTTTTAACAACTTTAACCAATTTGAATTATCTGAAACCGGTAATTCAGTTTATTTTTGTCTCATACCTAATATGTTTTTGTACTCGTTGAAACATATATTTTAAAATATTTTTGTACTCGTTGAAACATATATTTTAAAATTTTGTTGGACAATTTTTGTAATTTGGTTATTTTGTCTCATACCTAATATGTTTTTGTCCTCATTGAAACAAATTAAACTAAATTAAACTATCTCAAACCGTCAAACGGTATTTATTCCAACGGGTTGTGTACAGATATATATATGGTATGGAGAATTTGATGGGCTCATGAAACGTGACAAACCCATACAAGTTATGGTTTTATAGTTTTAGTTTGATTAGGATGTTATTGCTTTTATGATTATCTTCTCCTTATTTTTGTGGGAATAGATATCTAAGCTGCATGGAATTGGAAGCGGGTACGCGGAAGCGGAAGCGTTTGGAAGCGCCGAAACGAAATTTTTTAAAAAATTAGGAAGCGGGTACGTGTTGGAAGCATATATATATGTATCGTAAATACCAAACATAAAATCATATTAGATTACAATCATGATAGAAAATAATATTAGAATAAATTAGTTGAAAACTAAATTTAAAAACCTTAAAATTAGACATAAATAGCAAAGAAGAAATTCTATGGGGTTTTATAAAATTAGGCTTATATAACGTTACAATCGACAACTATATCAAGTCTTGTTGTAGTGTAGTGGCATGGACAGTTTTAATATTCTCTCAGGTCGAGTGTTCGAGCCTTGGAAACTTCCAAAATTACTTTTTTTACTTAAAAGAAGAAGGGTAAATGTGTAATTTCCTTGAGGAGTCATCTTCTTCCTCTAGAAGCCCTAATCGCCGTCCTTCTTCTGTATTTTTTTCCTTTTTTTTTTTTGAATATTGGTAAGGCAAGCAACGCTTCCAATCTATCCCCGACGCTTCCCACTCAGAATCTTACGCTTCCACCACGATTCCAAAAGACTCATTTAGGGAATCGCGATTCCAAGCCGATTCCGAGCGATTCCGCTCCCGTTTCCGATTCCGGAGCGGGAATCGACACTTCTCCGGCGATTCCGTGCAACGTAGATAGATATACTCAAATCATGCGGTGTTTTTTTTTATAAATATTGTGAGAACTCAATAAGAAAGGATACGAGAATTATTTATTAGAAACTGGTTGTATCATTGTCTATTAGGTCTTGATTGAGACGTGTTAGAATTCAAGATGGAGGTGGATCAGATAATTTATCTTGTAATGTATATTTCTAATATTTATTGTAAGTATATTTACTAGATTATTACTTGGATAATTTTAAACAAGCTCAAACAAGAATAATTCAAAAAAATCTACATTTTTATTAACTATATGTATTATATGATAATTATACATATAGTTTGAAATAAAATCAAACAAAAATGATAGGAAAATTATAATTTTAAATCTTAAAGACTAAAAATAAATGCATTTTTTGTTTGGAAATTGCCTTTAAGATTTGAAGAAAATTGGATAGTTTTCATGTTTTGCCAATTAGATGTGAACAATTTTTTATTCGATTTAATAGATGTTATTGAATGATTTATTTTTTATGGAAAATTGTTAAACTTATTTAAGAATAGCTGGCTAGCCTTATTTTTAAATTTCACTTAAATATATTCTATTATTCTCTATGATTTTTGGTTATAAACCACACATCAAACCAAAATCCGCGTGGTTTCATTTTTCGAGTTGAATGAAATATGATTTTTTTGAATTCTTTATTATTTTCTCCTAAAATACTAAAATACCAATAACATTTTATGTAATTGTTTACACTATTAAAGTCTTTTTATTTGTTGTGCTTCCAATAAGTAATATACATCACTTCTTATAAACCTTAAATATTAGAAAATTTTAAATAATTATAGAGTTTAAATATTGGTAATATTTTTTAAAAACATTTTGTAAATCTTAAATAGTATATCTTTGTTTTAAAACTTTTAGAAACATTATATATTAATAATATTTTAAATGTTTTTATAAATTTTAAACTTTTATAAATTTTTAATTTTATTAATATAATTAATATTTTAAACTCTTACAAATTTTTAATTTTATTAATAAAGTTTAAATATAATTAATATTTTAAACTCTTACAAATTTTAAATATTTATAATATTTGAAAACTTTTAAATTATAAATATTTTTAATATTTGTAACCTTTTAAAAGTTTAAATATTTTAAATATATATATATATATATATATATATATATCGATAAAATAACTGGTTCAAATAAAGAATCGAATTATATCGAACATGGTTATAATCTTTATTTAATCTATAATCTTTATTTAATCTAGTCTTAAAATAGTTGGGTTGACCTATAAACAAATATAACCCTAGAGAGAGAGAGAAAATCCTAGAGAGAGAGCAGCCGCCGCCGCCATCGCTGTCCGCCTAAACCCTAAACCCTAAACCCTAAACTCTAAACCCTAAACCCTAAACCCTAAACCCTAAACCCTAAACCCTAAACCCTAAACCCTAAACCCTAAACCTAAACCCTATATATATATATATATATCGATAAAATAACTGGTTCAAATAAAGAATCGAATTATATCGAACATGGTTATAATCTTTATTTAATCTATAATCTTTATTTAATCTAGTCTTAAAATAGTTGGGTTGACCTATAAACAAATATAACCCTAGAGAGAGAGAGAAAATCCTAGAGAGAGAGCAGCCGCCGCCGCCATCGCTGTCCGGCGATCCATGGAGGCTCTCCCTCCACTCGATGGCCCAGGTCTCCATCAATCCCCTGCTAAGACCTACTCGCAAACTGTGTCCTCACCAAAGTCTCAAACCGCTATTTCCCCAGCTCTGTTTCTATCTCCCATGTCGTGACTACCACGGCTTCTGTGCTTGGCTCTGTTTCCCCTGTTCATGAAGTGATCGATGGATCTATTGAGATTGAGATTCCGTCGGAACTACTCATTGATGCTCAGCCCTTGTGGTCCAATTTCATTATGGGTCATTTCATTGGTGATGCACCCCATATTGGGAAGGTTCACGCTACCGTCAACCGTATTTGGGCTTCGCCGGAGAAGACCTCCATGATCGATGCTCAATTCCTAAGCTCTAAAACAGTACTTTTCCGAATCGAAGATGATCATATGCGCCAGAGAGTTTTGCGAAGACATTTCTGGCATATTGCAGACATTCCCTTAGTGGTTCGTGAGTGGAATCCTTCTACTGCAAACTCTAAGCCGGATCTCTCAGCCATCCCAATCTGGGTAGATCTTAAGTGTGTTCCGGATTATTTGTTTAATGAGAAGGTTCTGCAGTTTCTTGGTGATCAAATAGGTCAAATGCAGAGACTACACCCTAATACTGCTCGCTGTGTCCGTCTTGATGTGGCAAGATTATTAGTTGTAGTAAACCTGGAGAAGGCGCTACCTGATAAGCTCAACCTAAAATCATCGGGGCAAATTATTGAAGTCTCTTATCCCTGGCTGCCATCTCGCTGTTCTGAGTGTCAGGAATGGGGACACGAGGGGAAGAATTGTTCAAAAATGAAAAAAGGAGCAGTTGTGGAATCTCATGTTGCTGTGAAGGTGATGAAAAAGTCAGGCCAATCTGCAGAGGAGTCCTCCGTGGAGGTTCACCAATCCTCTCAGCAGTCCCCGATTATTGCTAAGGAGGTTGAAGAGGAATCAACATGGTCTCTGGTCCAGAACGGTGGTCGCGCTTCTCCGGGAAAAGTAGGGTCTGGATCTCCTCCAATGACAGAACTGCAGGTGGATGTTGCAGCAGCCTCACCTTCAAGGTTTCAGTTTCTTGCAGAGACCCTTGAGGAGGGTGAATGTGAGCCTGATGTGCAGGAGGAGGAAGAAGAAAACCAAACAGTGAGCCCGAAAACCATTGGTTCCCAAGAGCCATCAGTTGAAACTACCCGCAAGACGAAATCGCACCGCAGGCGTTCAAAGTCAAGACCTAAGGCTATAGTTACTCAGAAAGACCAGAAAACAAGTGCCACCGCAAACCAAACAAAGAAAGCTTCCCTTGGGAAGCACTAATGAATATGTCGTCTATATTTGCGTGGAATACAAGGGGTTTCAACAAAATGCGCAAACATAATGTAGTTCGACAATGGTGTATGTCAAAGAAGCCGTTCTTTGGATGTCTTCTTGAAACAAGAGTTAAGAAGGATAATTTTGAGAGTGTTTTTGAGTTTGCGCTACCAGGTTGGCGAGCGGAAACCAATTATGACTATCATAGACTGGGAAGGATATGGGTTTGTTGGCGGGAAGATATAACAGTCCATATTCTATACAAAAGTTCACAAATCATCACTTGCTGGGTTACTTCAGAGAGTGGCGAGCAGTTTGTGGTTTCTTGCATCTATGCATCAAATTTTCATGCTGATAGAATGTTATTATGGGAGGAGATTCGGCAGTGTGATCAGCTCTTTGTCCAAAGTCGTGTTCCATGGATCGTTATGGGTGATTTTAATGAAACTTTAGCCTCTTCAGAGCATTCTCGCGGCACAATTCTGGCCAATGTCACTGCTGGTCGTGGCTTTCAAGCACTTATATCGGACTGCGAACTGGAGGATCTTTCCTATGTAGGACCTCGCTTCACTTGGTGGAATAACCAAGAAGACAATCCCATTGGTAAGAAACTGGATCGTGCACTAGTGAATGGTGTATGGGGGCAAGTTTTTCCTTCGTCTTACGCCAGTTTTGAAACGTGTGGTGTTTCGGATCATTGTCGTTGTAGTGTCAACTTCTCTGAACTCACACAATCAGTTAGAAGACCATTCAAGTATTTCTCCTACCTTGGAGACTTGCCGCAATTTGGTAGTACAGTCCAACAAGAATGGGATTCCCTAGATCCAATATATCATTCGAGAGCAGCCTTATTTATATTCCATCGGAAGTTAAAGACGCTGAAAGCTACACTTCGAGCTCTAAACCGTGAAAAATATGGCGACCTTCCAAGAAGAACAAGAGAAGCATTTGACGAATTATGTGCTTGCCAAAACAGAGCATTAACCTTTCCTAGCGCTGAATCTTTTGCGGAAGTATCAGAGGCAACTAATAACTGGAATCATCTTGCTGGTGTTGAAGAACGTTTCTATCGTCAGAAATCTCGACTCAATAGTTTAAAGTATGGTGACCAAAACACTGCTTTTTTCCAACGTATGACACAAACACATGCTTCAAAGAATGCGATCAAACGCCTCAAAACGCAAGCGGGGGATACCATCACAGAGATTTCGGATATCAAGAGTGAAGCGGTCTCACATTTCCAGCAGTTTATCCAAACCAGACCCGCCAACATTGAAGAGGTTCACGATGACTACTTGGCTGATCTATTGAGTTTTCGTTGTAGTGCAACTACGGCCGCATCCCTGGTTCGTGAAATCAACGATGAGGAAATAAAATCAGTTCTATTTTCAATGCCTTCTAGTAAAGCTCCTGGACCTGACGGCTATCCGGTGGAATTCTATAAATCTGCATGGTCAATTATTGGTTCAGACTTCATAAAGGCGGTACAATCTTTTTTTATCTACGGTTTCATGCCTCGAGGAGTAAATGCAACCATTATCTCTCTAATTCCAAAGACCACAGAGCCTGAATCAATCAAGGACTATCGGCCAATTGCGTACTGCAACATATTATATAAGGTGGTCTCCAAAATTCTAGCCAATCGCTTAAAAGAGTTGTTACCATCCCTCATTGAGCCAAATCAAACAGGTTTTATCAAGGATAGGCTACTGTTGGAGAACGTTCTGCTTGCATCTGAACTTGTTAAAGACTACCACAAAGTAACAATTACTCTCCGTAGTGTCATCAAGCTAGATATCTCGAAGGCTTTTGATACGGTTGAATGGTCCTTTATTTCGGCAGTTTTAAGAACATGGGGCTTACCGGATCAGTTTGTGAATTGGGTTACTGTGTGCCTCTCCACGGCGTCCTTTTCAGTGGCTGTGAATGGAGAGCTTGCGGGTTTTTTTCCAAGCTCCCGTGGTCTCCGTCAAGGTTGTTCTCTCTCTCTCCGTATCTATACGTAATTGTGAATAATGTGCTCTCGCTCCTTTTAAATCGAGCAGCCCAACAATCTCGTATTGGCTACCATCCTCGGTGTAAGGATATGGGTCTCACCCATCTAAGTTTTGCTGATGATATTCTTGTTTTTACTGATGGTTCAGCCTCTTCTTTGCAAGGTATTATGATTGTTCTTGAAGATTTTGGCAGAATCTCCGGGCTGTTCATAAATACATCAAAGTCGTCAATCTTCACTGCGGGTCGTAACACATTAGGTATTCAGGAGGAAGCAGAGCGTTTAGGTATTCCTAAGGAATCCTTTTCTATTCGTTATCTTGGTCTACCTTTGACAACAAAGAAGATGACTCGTCAAGACTATGAGCCTCTTGTGGATAGAATCAGGTCACGTTTTCTATGTTGGTCAAGCAAGCGACTATCTTTTGCGGGAAGGTTAGAACTTATTCAATCAGTTATTACGAGTGTCATTAACTTCTGGTGCTCCATATTTCGTCTCCCTAAGGGCTGTTTCGACGTCATTGGTAGCATGTGTAATGCATTCTTATGGTCTGGCTCTCCTAATGATCACTCAAAGACAAAGGTAGCATGGGAGGAAGTGTGCAAACCGAAGGAAGAAGGTGGCTTGGGTATAAGGCGACTGCGTGACTCTTCACGGGTCTTTGCTCTAAGCCTCATTTGGAGATTGTTCACGGCCTCGGGTTCACTGTGGGTAGCATGGTCTAGGCGTTATCTTTTCCCAAACGCATCCTTTTGGAGTGTAAGTGAAGGGACTCTAGGATCATGGATATGGAGGAAGCTACTTAAGCTAAGACCACTAGCCGCATCTCTCATGTGTATGGAGGTAAAGAATGGGAACTCAACTATGTTTTGGTGGGACAACTGGACTGGTGCAGGTCGTCTTATTGACATAGTATGTGACATAGGGCCGCAGCATTTTGGTCTTTCCCGTCATGCTACTGTTTCGGAGGCTTGCATAAACAACCAATGGACTCTAAGACGAGCGCGTGGACAGCTATACCGAACTGTTATTGAGCTTCTCAGCCCAATCACTCCTCCTTCGCCTCATGCGAGTCAAGATATTGTTAAGTGGATGCACAAAACAGGGGAGTATCAATCCTCCTTCTCGTCTAAGTGTACATGGAATCTCATCAGGGACACTTCCACAAAGGTATCCTGGTCTACCTTGGTTTGGTTTCCTCAAGGGGTTCGAAGGTACTCATTCATCACTTGGCTTGCTGTCAAGGATCGTCTATCAACTGGCCAAAGAATGCGTCGTTGGGGCCAAATACAATTTTGTCCGCTTTGTGGTGAGCGCGATGAGACAAGGGATCACATTTTCTTTGCTTGTCCTTATGTGTTTGCAATTTGGTCTACTCTATGCACTCCTCTCTTGCGGCGTCATACTACTCCAGATTGGCATGACACAGTTCGTGCGATTCTAGCAAAGCAGTCTCCAAGAATCGACATTATCCTCGTCCGTATGGTCTTCCAAACAACTATTTATTTTGTGTGGAGGGAACACAATGGTAGAATTCACAATTCTAGCCACCAACACTACCGGAATCTGACGAAGCATATCGCCACAGCACAAGAACGCTCCTCTCTTGGCCCGTTGGTCATCTCTCTGCAGCTCCATCGTGTAAACTGCATTTGTTTAGCCACTGTTTTTCCAATTTCTTTGTAAGGTTTGATATGGTCCCATAACAAGCTCCAAATCAAACCAAGCCATACCGAACTCTTTGTACATATCTTTTCTTTTTGTTGATTAATAAATTTGACATTTCAACAAAAAAAAAAAAAATGGTTGGGTTGTAATCATTTCCTCGTATATGAGCGGTTTTCCTTAGACTGTATAATCAAGAAAATATTGTTTACCAAGTTTTCTATTCTATAAACAAGGCAAGTTCGATTAATATACATTTAAGGCAAGTTTTCTATACAAAAAAAAGAAAAAGAAAAACCTTTACCTGATATAAATAAGTCAAAACTTTTTTCACTGAGCAGATTACACCAAGTCTGGGCATGTACACCGATTTTCATGAAGGAGCCGCTTGTTCGTAAAGGATCTGGTTCTCATAAGAGTTAGTTGGAATCAGAGGTTTGGGCTCACCAATGACCAAGCCATCTAATACTTAATGTCTTTTATCAAGAACCGTAAAAGCATTTTGCAATAGTTGTCTTGCTTTCCGATCTGCAGTACACCCAGAGGCTTCCATTTCCCTGAATATTTCTGGAACCTGTGCAGCCAGCAATTTAAACACCTACTTTATCAAGATAACACATAGCGTATATACTCAATGAAACGTTTGCGGTGAAGGAACATGGGATTACAAGGTGATTATAGAAGAGCTACATACCTTTTCATACTTCTTTGCTCGAGTGAATGCTTTCATAAGTGTACTATAGGTAACCACATCGGGGGTGAATCCCTTCAGAAGACAAACTCGAGCAGTTCAGCATATAATTCAACGATGACAATAGGGATGTACTAGAAGTTTAATCGAATTAAATATGCATACGCTTTCTTTAATATGGTGATAAATAGATAGAGCTTCCATGTGCTTCCCAACAGTTCCAAAAGCATTAATCAAAACATTCAACATAATCAAGTTTGGTTCAATCCCCTCGTTCTCCATCATCTTGAGCACCTTTACTGTCTGTTTGTACAGTCCCTGTGTAAAAATTTGATCATGACTTCAGTTAGATTTGAAAAACAATGCGTCGTAGTTTTTGGAATACTAAAGATGTATGAATAGGCTTCTGGCCAAATGATAAACTTTTCGAAATCATCAATCCAATTTGGTCATAAGGTTGACAATTCGATCAGGGATGATCCTATGACAATCTTCGGGATCACTACTAATATAGAGGGCATGGGAAACTATATGAGATTACCGGAAAGCTTAGGAGGATCTAAGACAAAGATTTTCTCTTTTGTTAAAGAACGTCTACATGACATAATAAATGGTTGGTCTGCAAAATTCTTATCTAAGAGTGGCAAAGAGGTGATGATTAAATCGGTAACTGCTGCAATGCTTAGTTACGAAATGTCGATTACCAAAATCGGTAACATCAAAACTTAACAATGCAGTAGCATGATAGGAACACCGATCTTTAATTAGCTTCAATAACATGGTTCGCTAACTGAGTAATCTGTATATTCGTAAAAACCACCTTTATATCAATATTTCTGAGTATTATGATAGGAACACCGATCTTTAATACAAGCTTATGGTTTGGTAACCCAGAAACTTAATATTGAAGCTTTCTCTTATAATAAATATCAAATAAATTAATATAGCAATTCGATGAACGCCTAAAAAAATGGGTTGAATTTGTGATTTTAATAAACAAAAGATTATTAAAAAAATTAAATATAAAAATAATTTACTTGATATAATCTTTGTGAGTAAAAAAAGTAGAGAACAACTCCATATTAGAGTAAAAATGTAGAAATGGGTTCCAAATGCATTTACAAAATAAATTCACTTATTTTGTTCCATGCTCGTTGTTTTGTTTTATTAAGGTACTGCATATCTCACTGTAGCATTTTAAAATTTATTTGGGTTATGTTCACTTAAATATTTGGAATGTCGATTTGTTAAGGTCAAATTTTGATATTATAAATTTAGTCTATCTTGTAGTTTTTGCTGGGTTCATTTACTTGGTTATTTGAACTAGTAGGAACTAGGAAGATGTGATAAGTTAACTTAGTTATATTTTCTTTTATATTTTATTCATATTTTAATTGAGATTACACATAAATAATGAATTGATTAATAATTAGGTAGACTAGATATCGGAAATTTATTTTGAGACACCAAACCGGCTATACAACAACAATAACGACCATATTGATCTCCTAGACAATCTCCTCCTTTGGGATGCCCCATAGACATGCACTTTTGCATGCATTCTAATTGGCTTCGACATCCTTTCAAACATGGTTCGATATAAGGCTTAAATTGCATCAAAGCTGAACAACAAAATAACAAAGTAAATAAATTATAAAATAGCAGAAGCAATAAAACAAGAAAACTCGTAAAATAAATAAATTTAAAACAAAATTGTAAAACAGATGGATACCGAAAAAAAAAAAACTATGACATAGTAGATGAATAAAATTCTGTATAATCTATTATACAATTAAAGAATGCGGGATTAGTTAAAAACAATTTGTTATTTTTTACGTTTTATCATTTTGTGTTTATAAAGAATATGGTGTTGGTGGAATCATAATTTAAAAACGTGAAAACCTGAAAAAGTTTAATACAATCCAGGCCCACGATCTCATATTTGATATTTGGTTAATAACCAAAACATTAACAACAATTTTTACACAAAATCATAAATTTATTATTCTAAATTCTTAATTGCAAACAAACGCTTTTCTTGATATGATTCCACGAATGGTTATACTATTCAATTTTTTCACAAGAAATTTTAATCTGAAAAAATTAATTTCTTCCATTGTAGACAATGCATAATTAAACAGATAAATATATTACCTGAAATCATAGGCATAAGGATGAGAGAAAATATCATCAACGAAGGTAATAAAAAAGGTGAAAACTTTTTCGTTGTCATTACTTGTGTTTCTAGAGGATGCAACAACTCTTCTTCTAGATATATTCCAAGCTCCCGAAAAAAGAAAAAACTATAGAAAATAATATTCAAATCAATGTTAGAAAAATTGCTCAGTGCCTTCTTTTTTTACTGTTTTATATATAAAAAAAAATTGCTTCTTAAATAAAAGCGTCTAACATTTCCTACAAAATCATCTTTAAAACACTGTTTACCTTGCGTTTATTTGTTATATGAATATAATCTATGAAGAACAAGAGTATGTAGACCATATATATATATGCATATATATGTATAAAATCTTCCACATTAATAAGTTTTCGATAATAGAAATTTTGAGTCAATATTTTGTCTCTATATTAAATGCTCTTTCTATTTGAGATTGTGTTTACATTTTAAATTATTATTTTATCAAAGAAAATCCTTTATTTTAAATTAATTAAATCATTTTGTATCATAAATAATTTACTAAGAATGGATTTTATTGTCCATGCGTGCGTTCTTCCAAATAAAATTTACAGGTTTGACTCTAATTTTAACTTTATTTTTCCATCTGAGATTATGTTTAAATTTTAAATTATTTCATAAATAGAAAATAAATTTCTTTCTTTTTCATTTATTGTAAATCTTTTCTTATCATAAATAATTTACTATGAGCAGAGTGTGTTGGCCAACACTAATCCAATGTTATTTAACTAATGATTCTAAATCTAACTTTAAAATCTGGTGTTATTGGATCTTATACTTCATTAGATTTTAAAAGTTTCGTGTTATTCAACTAAGATTTAAAATACTATTAAAATCCAGTGTTATTCAAAACTAAAAGGCTTGTAAAATATTTGTATATTAAATCATTTGAAATGAAACCTCTTTGGAGTTTCATGAGTAAATCCAAGATATACGGCATAAATTTTGAAATCCACACAAACAGATTCTTAAAAACAATATCATAAAGCAAATCTAATTGAATAATTGAATAAAGGCTATGTATCTGTTTTTGGGGTCTAAAGGTTATGTATCTGTTTTTGGGGTCTAAAGGCTATGTATCAGTTTTTGGGGTCATACAATGGAATGCCAAGCTAAATTTTGAATCATTTTACAGTAAATAACTAAATTGTTCAAGCAGTCCTCAAAGGGTCTTGAACCTGTTCTAAGAGGCCCACATTGGTGCATCAAGTTCCAAATACTTTATAACTGAGTGTTATGGAATGTAGGTCGGGATAATCCTTGGGGAGAGAATGCGCACCAAGGAACGCATTACTTAGGAGAGGCGTTCTTCATGATCAGTCGGGTAAAACAACCTTCTTTTGTGAGTCACTCCCCGGTTGATGGATGGTTTGCGTCGTCCTATCCATTTAATTTTCTCGAAAATAGGTGAGTGTTTTTATTGTATGTTCTTTAGAGGTGTTCTTCATCAAATATTTAAAATTTTCTTTGTTGATAGAGACTATAGTTCCTGCTGGATGAGTGTTTATTCTTTCATTTTTCCCGTATGTATAGTCAGTTGGATCATCTTTGGATGTTCCAAGCCATCAAAAATAATTAATGTCTTTTATTAAGAACCATAAAAGCATTTTGCAATAGTTGTCTTGCTTTCCGATCTGCAGTACACCCAGAGGCTTCCATTTCCCTGAATATTTCTGGAACCTGTGCAGCCAGCAATTTAAACACCTACTTTATCAAGATAACACATAGCGTATATACTCAATGAAACGTTTGCGGTGAAGGAACATGGGATTACAAGGTGATTATAGAAGAGCTACATACCTTTTCATACTTCTTTGCTCGAGTGAATGCTTTCATAAGTGTACTATAGGTAACCACATCGGGGGTGAATCCCTTCAGAAGACAAACTCGAGCAGTTCAGCATATAATTCAACGATGACAATAGGGATGTACTAGAAGTTTAATCGAATTAAATATGCATACGCTTTCTTTAATATGGTGATAAATAGATAGAGCTTCCATGTGCTTCCCAGCAGTTCCAAAAGCATTAATCAAAACATTCAACATAATCAAGTTTGGTTCAATCCCCTCGTTCTCCATCATCTTGAGCACCTTTACTGTCTGTTTGTACAGTCCCTGTGTAAAAATTTGATCATGACTTCAGTTAGATTTGAAATTCATAGCACTATTTACTAGAAAATATAACCCTTCTTAAAGCTTGCACAATCATTGGTGATGAAAAGACAGGCAGTTTTATCGGACTTGTACAATGCTTATACTTGAATTCATATTAAGCACCAGATAGACCCAAAATTCAGGTTTATCAGAACATTGAAAATGTCAAAAAGTTGGAACTGAAAAGAATAAGATATATCTGGTGTAGACAGCCAAATAATTTACAACGAAAGTAAAAGAACAGGCCAAATTGTGTTATCAGAATCTATGAACTAACTACAGTTGTTAACATTCTATACTCTTCTATATATACCAAACGAAAACGGCTGAAACAATCATGTATAGTGTCTACATAGTTCAGGTCACAAACAAAAGAAACCGAGAACAGGAAACACTGAGAGATAGTAAACCAACCTGCTGAGCATATGCATTTGCAAAAGTACAAAACAGATTGGCTGAAGGAGCGACACCCTGTGACTTGAGCTTACCCACAAGTTCCTCAACATCCTGGAAACTCCCAAACTGTCCAATAATTTGAACTAAAGCTGCATAAATAGCTCTTGTATCTTTATGTTCCTTACACTTTATGGACTCAAAATGTTTATCTATCATGTTCCAGTTCCCATTCTCTCCCAACCGGGTTATAAGATTCACAAACATCCTAGGGTCAGGATAAAGCCCCTGATCTTGCATCATTGTGAACAACTCAAGCGCCATATCAAGCGCACCGTGATGACAATGCCACCGTATCAACGAATTCCATGTACTAATATTAGGCTTCGAATCACTAGAGCTCTGCATTTTCTCTAAAACATCTAACGCTTCATCCAACTCCCCGTACTTACCAAACGTATCGATAATGCTATTGTATATCTCCACATCCATTGGCAAACCAATCTCCTTAATCTCTTCTACAATCCCTAAAGCTTTCTTCCACATCCCATTGTCTCTATAAATACGAATAATCTTCCCATAAACAAACGAATTCAAACGAAACATCCTCTTCTTCATCTCGTTAACCACACGCCACGATTCCTCTAATCTCCCAGCACTAACATAATAATTCAATAAAATCTCACAAGTTTCTTGATTCTTATCAACATTTTCCTCTTTCATATGATCCAAAACCCTAACAGCTAACTCTAATTGACCTTTTCTCAAATATCCACTGAGCAAAGCATTGTACAATCTCACCGAATAGCTTCCATTGATTCGGAATCGAACTACTTCTTGAAACAAAGCATCAGCTTCAAGTGTCCTTCCCAGACTAGCGAGTGTTTCAATCAAACTAACGTAGGAAAGAGGATCGGGATGGGAACCGAGAGAATCGATTTCGGCGACGAGAGACATTGCTTCGTTGATTTCACCTGTTCTACAGCAATATCGAATCCAGCGATTGTACATAGACAAAGACAGTTCCTCTGTGACTAATTGGCGAGGAACTGGTTGGTTAGAGCAGCAGCAGCCATTGACGAGTCGTCGCGAGTCTCTGGAACTGAAAGAAGTAGAAAATCTCGTCGGAGATGGAGAAATTGAGACTCGGAGAGTGAGAGCTCCATAGGAACAGTGAATTTCAGTAGCCATTGACATAGCTCTTGAGCTCTAACAACTCGAACAGTGAATTGAAAATTATTTGGGTTTTATTTATTTTATGGAAATCAAACTTTTAGAATATGGAATTTTTTATTTATTCTTGGTCAACTGTAGGATTGTTATTGACATCAAAAAGTCAGTACAGAGAGAAGTCTAAAAACCAAAGAAAGGTAAAAACTGTTATAAATAATTACTTTATTTATGGTGTATATAAATATAAATAATGGAGAAAGACTTTATACCCGCAGAAGGATCGGGATACTGAAAATAAAGAGATGAGAGGGAGAGAGATTATTACTTCTCTTGTAATTGAAGTAATGAATTGTGAAGGTGTGAATTACATCGAACGATTTCGATCGTTTATATAGAGGTAGAAAAGATAAGTTACTATGCTGCATAGTGAGGTGGACTCCACACAAAATATTATTTTACCATCGTTTACGCATGTGTATTTGATGTTGCAGCTTTCCTTGACTTTTACAACATTCCCCCTTGGAGACCAGTGTCACTATGTCTCTTGCGTAATATTTTATGTTGCCTCGTTAAAAACCTTTCTAGGAAAACCCGGTGGGAAAAACCATAGTAGGTAAAAAGAGTGCAACCGCGCAAGCTCCCCCTCGAATGATCAAGATCATAACTTACAAGTCTTGTTGACGACGCATTCCAATGTTATGAACATGTTTCCTGAACATAGAGGTGGGCAAAGATTTTGTGAAGAGATCCGCAGAATTCTCGGATGATCGGACATATCTTACTTCAATGTCTTTATTCTTCACGAGCTCTTGGGTGTATGAAAAGAACTTTGGAGGGATATGTTTGGTTCTATCGCTTTTGATATATCCTTCCTTTGTCTGAGCAACACATGTAGCATTGTCTTCATATAAGATAGTTGGCTCTATATTCAGACTAATTCCACTACTGGTTTGAATATGTCGACTTATTGATCTTAGCCATACGCATTCTCTACTCACTTCATGGAGTGCGATGATTTCAGCATGATTCGAAGAAGTAGCTACAAGCGTCTGCTTCTGAAAACGCCATGATATAGCAGTACCTCCAATCGTGAATACGTATCCTGTTTGTGATCGAGCTTTGTGTGGGTCTGATAAATATCCTGCATCTGCAAAACCAATCATTTGACCATTTATATTTTTAGGATAAAATAACCCTAAGTCAATAGTCCCTTGAAGATAACGAAAGACATGTTTAATTCCGTTCCAATGTCTTCGTGTAGGGGATGAACTAAATCTAGCCAAAAGATTGACTGAAAATGATATATCAGGTCGAGTGCAATTTGCAAGATACATAAGGGCTCCAATTGCACTTAAATACGGTACTTCAGGACCGAGTATTTCTTCATTCTCCTCAGGTGGTCTGAATGGATCACTCTCAACATTAAGTGATCTAACGACCATTGGAGTACTGAGAGGAGTTGCCTTATCCATATTAAAACGTTTTAACACTCTTTTGGTGTATGTGGATTGATGTACAAATATACCCTTTTGAGTATGTTCAATTTGTAGGCCAAGACAAAATTTTGTTTGTCCGTGATCTTTCATCTCAAATTCCCCTTTTAAATAGTTTGTTGCTTTCTGTATTTCAGCTTGAGTCCCGATTATGTTTAGATCATCAACATATACCGCGATTATTACAAATCCGGAATTTGTTTTCTTTATGAAAACACATGGGCATATAGGATCGTTCACATATCCTTCTTTCGTTAAGTGCTCACTGAGACGATTATACCACATTCGTCCAGATTGCTTTAACCCATATAATGATCTCTGCAACTTTATTGCACACAACTCTTTGGGTTTAGATTTTAATGCTTTTGGCATATTAAACCCATCGGAAACTCTCATATAGATATATGTATCTAATGATCCATATAAATATGCTGTAACGACATCCATGAGACGCATCTCTAGATTTTCGCCAGCTGCTAGACTCATCAGAAATCTAAACGTTATAGCATCCATAACAGGGTAATATGCTTCCTCATAATCAATCCCGGGTCTTTGAGAAAATCCTTGAGCTACGAGACGAGCCTTGTATCTCGTAATTTCATTTTTCTCATTTCGTTTTCTAACGAAAACCTATTTGTATCCAACCGGTCTCACATCTTCAGGTGTGAGTACAATAGGTCCGAATACATTTCGCTTATTGAGCGAATCAAGTTCGACTTGTATTGCATCTTTCCATTTTATCCAGTCATGTCTCTTTTGACATTCATATACAGACTTTGGTTCTGTATCCTCGTTTTCCTCATCAATTTCCTTTGACAAAAGGTATGAGAAAACGTCATTAACATCATCCATTTTATTTCGATCCCAGATCTTTCCATTATGTATATAGTTGATAGAAATCTCATGATTTCCTTCAGGCTCATTGTGCTCATCATTGTCATTAGACTCATGATTCGTTTCTTCCAAAATGCTTTCTGCTATTTTGGGAATATCATGCTTTTCAACTTCCTTTCGTTTTCTAGGATTTTTATCCTCAGCACCAACTGGTCTACCACGTTTCACGCGTGTTTTAGACTCACGTGTATCATCTGCTCCTCCACGTTCTTGTGGGATTTCAATTCGAGCATGTACATTTGCAGCCGGTATATATGATTTAGTTACCGTTTTGGTATCTGCCACTACAGGAAATTAGGGTATTAATAGCAGTACAGAATAGCGTTTTTGATGTTTATGCTATAGTTGAGTTTCGAGAAAATTTTCATAGCGTTTCAGAAAAGGTAAACGCTATAGTAGGATGACCGCGAAAATATTTCGTGGCGCCTATTTTTTTGTTCTACGATAGCATATATGACAATGAAAACGTTATCTTAGGGATAACCGGGAAAGTAGAATTTTCATTACCTCCAAAATTTTTCTAAGTGGTAACAAAATAAAATAAAATAATAGAGAAAGAATATTTAAAATTGAAATAAATGGATTAGGTTTAATTACTCGTGAAACACTTTGGCCATCTCTTCTCTCTTCTTTCTATTTCTTTCTTCTTCTTCTCCGACTTATAGATTTTTCGGCGATGGGAGACGAGAAGCCGACGATTGTCATGGCCAATCGTGAAAGAGATCGAGAGCTTTTGATTCGCGTTGCTGATTCCAGCGACAAAGACGATAGTTCTTCCTCTTCTTCATCTTCTTCTTCTTCTTCTTCTTCTTCTTCTTCGCATCAATCCAGCCACAAGGTCTAGTTTTTCTTTTCACATGATCTAAAATCTTGTCATTCATTTTCTCATTTCAAGATTCATGTAAAAGTAACAATAGATTTGGATTTAGTTTGAATTGGAAATGGATTGTGCTCTGATGCTTTACCTATTTTCTGCAAACTTTAAGCTTTTTCATTAGGGGTTGGGCGTCGAAGAAGTTCGTGACAGGCTGGTAAGCAAAAGTTGAAATTTTGCCTTTGATGAAGTTGTCACAGATTCAAGATTTGTGATGATGTATAGTTTTAAATCTCAATTGCTTTGGGCATATAAAACTCTCAAATCAATTACCATCTTCCTCTTTCTCTCTTAGATCACTAGTAGCTCCAGCTCGATTACTAAATCATCCGCCATGGCCTCACAAGCTTGTCTACTTCAGAAACAGATCAGCTCAAAGGTTTACACAAATCCACACGAATCTTTAGAAAATCTGTTTGGTGTTGTTCTTTGTTATTAAATAAGATTTAATTTGTTCAGATCTTTGTAAGCATGTTGTAGATGGATTCTCTTTGCTGGTCTATTTCATGATATTTTGTCCGTGATTTGATTCTCCGACAACATATCATTTTCTTTGAAAGGGTTTCTCTGAATCTGTCTAAGTGGTTTTGATGGTGATGGCTAGATTTGGATTTAATTCATGTGTGTCATTTATCCTCTATAACTATTCTTGTGAATATAGTTATTGTCTTATGTTCTAACGTTGGTACTTAATTTGGTCATTTGCCTTTGTGCGGTTTAGGTCTCGAGATAAGCAGAGGAATCACATTATAAGATTTGAGACACTTGCCGTTTTCTATGATGAACACAAGTGGGTTCAATAGCTACAGTGCCAATGACCTGATTCCCCATTGGACAATGTGTACGTAGCCAGCTTGATCTAGCCTGCTTTCAAGTAAGTTTATTCATCAGATTTTTGCTTAGTTTCTTTGAATAGACAATAAAGAGTAAAGTACAATTTTGTGTGTTGTGTTTGGTAATTTGACATGAAAAAAAAAGATTTTGCTCGGGTCTCTTGTGAATACGCTGAGTGATCTTTTTAGTATGTACGTACAAACTAATTAATGTAATGGTTGATGCGATGGGGATATTCACTTGATTTAAAATAGCCTTAATTTTAGATTGTTGTAGACTTATAAATAGAATTTTGTTATGTCTGCAATTCGTGAGTTTTGATTAATGTGTTATATAGGTGGTGTGGTATTGATCCTCTTTAGTTTATTCGATTTTCTTTTATTATATTGCTTCTATCTTTGTATTGAATTGAAAAACTTGATTGCAGGAGCTATGATGTCAAGCATATCTACAAGAAAGAACAATGGGTTCTCAATATATTATGTACAGTGGAGAGTGTCAAGAACAGCTCTAATATATTATTCGCTTGAAACATGTACTTTGGTTATTAATATAAAACATTTTCAGCTTTATGAATTTTTTTTCTTCTGCAAAATTATTAGGTAAATCCAATATACCAAAAATAATTTATTACACAAGGTCCACATTGGGAACAATAGATAACATTATCAATTTATAGCGAACCAAAAAACTGCTACAATATAAGTATCAATTATGACGTAATACAATAACATAAATACAATGCTATTGTAAACAATACAATTGCATATATTAAAACGCTATATTAAAAAAAACTACAGTAGCATAACGTAAAACCGCTACGAAAGGTTCTTGACATATTGTCGCGGTCGATGATATAGCGTTTCTAAATACGCTATGCTTGAGATAAATAGCGTTTTTCGGACGCTATCAATGCCTGATTTTCCTGTAGTGTGCAAAAGCATCGGGAAGTTGATTTGCTATACTTTGCAAATGCACAATTCGTCGAACTTCTATTTCTGACTGTTTTGTAGGAGGATCAAGGTGTAACAGGGATGGTACACACCATTTGATTTCTTTTCCTATTTGCTTATTTTCTCACCCTAGAACCGGAAATACTTTCTCATCAAAGTGACAATCGGCAAATCGTGCCGTAAAGCATCACCAGTCTGCGGTTCTAGGTATCTTATAATTAATGGAGAATCACAGCCAATATATATTCCCAACCTTCTTTGTGGTCCCATCTTTGTACGTTGTGGTGGTGCTATAGGCACATACACCGCACAACCAAAAATTGTTAGATGAGATATATTTGGTTCTCGACCAAATGCTAACTGTAGTGGGGAGTATTTATGGTATGCACTTGGTCTTATCTGAATAAGTGCTTCTGCATGCAAAATGGCATGTCCCCATACAGAGGTTGGAAGTTTTGATCTCATGATCAATGGTCTTGCAATCAATTGCAGACGTTTAATTAATGATTCAGCCAAGCCATTTTGTGTATGAACATGAGCTACAGGATGTTCAACTTCAATTTCTGTTACCATACAATAATCAGTGAATGCTTGGGATGTGAATTCACCAGCGTTGTCTAGTCTAACCCTCTTAATGGAATAATCAGAGAACTGAGCTCTTAATTTGATTATCTGAGTTATAAATCTCGCAAATGCCAAATTTCGAGATGACAATAGACAAACATGTGACCCTCTGCAAGATGCGTCAATCATTACCATAAAATAGTGGAATGGTCCACATGGTGGATGTATCGGTCCACAAATATCGCCTTGAATTCGTTCAAGGAACTTTGGTGATTCTTTATCAATTTTGGTTGGCGATGGCCTTATGATCAACTTTCCAAGAGAACACGCTGCACATGTCATTTTATTTCCATGTTTCAACTCATGATTTTTCAATGAGTGACCATGTGAGCTCTCTATGATTTTTCGCATCATTGTGGTGCCTTGGTGACCAAGGCGATCATGCCATAATACGAAATCTTCTGGATTTCTTTTGATCACAAGGTTTGACTCTATGACATCTATATAGGTATGATGCAAACCAGAAGGAAGTTCTGGAAATCTTTCCAAGACATGTCTTTTTCCAGATTTATTAGAAGTTATATACATATACTTCTTTCCATCCTCAGTTGCAGGCTGAGTTTCATATCCTTGAAGGTATATGTCTTTGAAACTCAAGGAAAACTTTGTTCCATTAGGCAATTTAAAATTTGCTTTGCCACTTCCTTCAATCAAGTCCGTAGGACCCGATATTGTATTGACAATAATTTTTGTCGGTTTTAATTCAGAGAAAAATCTCTGATGTCTCAGAATAGTGTGCGTTGTTCCACTATTTGGTATACAAATTTCTTTGATATTTTCCCTTGCTATCGTTTTGTTTGAATCTTGATCCATTTCTGTAATTAACATAAAAATATAAGTAAATATTATTGATGTTGAAAACATATAATAATTATACATCAGTTCATTTTTCAGAAACAACATTATTTTAGAACAACTGAAATACATAATAATTATACAATAGCATTACTGGAGACTAGTAGTCTCACTACAAGCATTTCAGTTATCCGCATGAGCGGTCTCGTCGACATCGTTTATAAAGTCGGAAGCTTCGAGGTACGATGTACCCTCAAAGTGCTCAGTAAGATTTACTTCCTTCCCTTTTCCCTTTTGGGACTCTTTGTACAACTTACAAAGATGTAAAGGGGTTCGACATACATGAGCCCAATGCCCTTTTGATCCACATCTGTAACAGATACTTTCACGCTTTTGAGCATTACGTCCTTGGGATTCTTTTCCTTTTGAACTTTGATCAGGTCGAACCCATGTATAAGACTTTCTGCTTTGTGGGTTAAAGGATCTTCCACGTCCACGATTGAATCGACGGCCACAACCTCGATAGGTTTGACTTCCTCTCTCCGGATTTTTTACATCCGTTGCATTGACCTCAGGAAATGCTTTGGCCCCCGTAGGCCGAGAGTTGTGGTTCTTAAGAAGAAGTTCATTATTCTTCTCCGCTAGTATGAGAGTCACAATTAACTCAGAGAAACTTTTGTATCCGCAATTTCTATACATCTCTTGCAGGACACGGTGTTCTTTATGAAAAGTAAGGTAAGTCTTCTCGAGCATTTCAGCTTCAGTAATAGGCTTAGCACAATACTTTAATTGTGATACTATCCTCAGCATAGCGGAATTATATTCCTCCACTTTCTCAAAGTCCTGGAACCTCAAGTTTTTCCAGTCCTCTAACGCATGAGGGAGAGTTATTTCTCTCTGGTTGTCAAACCGTGCTTTTAAAGCTTGCCACAGCTCTGCTGGGTCTTTTATGTGAGCATAGTCATGCGTCACATTTTCATCGAGATGCTTTCTCAAAAATATTATCGCTTTTGCCTTATCTTTTGGAGGCGATAAATTTTCCGATTTTAAGGTCTCGGATAATTCTTGCGACTCAAAATATAGTTCCACATCAGTGGTCCATGCTATGTAGTTTGCGCCAGTAATTTTGAGAGGCGGAAATTTAATTTATTTCATTTTAGAGCGTGGGATGTGCTTATATAAGTAATGCGATTACAAGAAATACAATTACATAAAAAAGTAAAATAATAACCATCAAAATTTTTTCGGGAGAAAATTCTCCAAAGAGTAAACCGTAAATTGCAATAATTATAAAGCCTATTACAAAAACTAAAAACGGATGAGTCATTTTCCAAAATGAAAACTTAAACAAATTTCTTAGAAAAATATATGAGGAGAGATATGATTTTTGAGTGAATGAATGAGTGAAAATGAGTGTATTTATAGATTGAAAATTACTGTTCATAGCCGTTTGAAAAGTGATAAAAATTTTTAAAATTTTTCTTCATGACCGTTGGTGAAAAGAATTAAACAGAAAATCAATGTGTAAATTTTAATAGCCAATCAGTTAAATTTACCAAATTCAGATAATAGGTTTTTATACAGGTGGCCGAGCCTCCTTATATATTAACCAAAATATAAGTATAACAGAAATAAATTTTAACGGCAATATTGTGGTGACAGAGTCATCCACATTATAGGCGGCTTAGCCGTCCATTGCTATGGTGTATAAAACATCCATTATAACGATTACTTATAGGGGCGACATTCCTCCCACTATAGTAACGAGTAAATAACGGTGTCCGAACAGCCACTAGAAAATAATATACATATACATATATCTATATAAATATTTTTCTTCTTTTTTTTCTTTTTTTTTTCTTTTTCTTTTCTTTTCTTTTCTTTTTCTTTTACTCATATTTTTTTTTCTTTTTAACAAGGCGACATACCGCCCGGTATAATACCATATTTTTTTCCAGCAAACATAGAGTGATCGTGCTGATAACGTGTTATAAATAATTACTTTATTTATGGTGTATATAAATATAAATAATGGAGAAAGAATTTATACCCGCAGAAGGATCGGGATACTGAAAATAAAGAGATGAGAGGGAGAGAGATTATTACTTCTCTTGTAATTGAAGTAATGAATTGTGAAGGTGTGAATTACATCGAACGATTTCGATAGTTTATATAGAGGTAGAAAAGATAAGTTACTATGCTGCATAGTGACGGTGGGCTCCACACAAAATATTATTTTACGATCGTTTACGCATGTGTATTTGATGTTGCAGCTTTCCTTGACTTTTACAACAAAAACCAATTACTTGAGCAAACTAGTAAAAACCCGTTTTTGAAAAATCGTTAGGCGTTAGTCAGACGTTCGGTATGACCTACCGATTAATCGTTGGCCGGTCCCGAGTCGGGCCAGTGTAAAAATTAACCAAATTCGATAAGATAATAAGATAATAAGTTTTTTGAAATCCGTATGTAAAAATATAGTCCCAATAATATCATAAATTAATAATCAGGTAAATTTGTACATATATATATATATATATATATTTATATATATAATAGTTTTAGTGTTTTTCATAAAAAATAGCCAAAAGTTTTTGTAAGTTTTCAAATTTTGAATATGCTTAATTTTTTTTAATAGTCGTATAGGTTTTTAAAATACAACAACGGATGTCACTATTTGTGAATTTTAATTAATGTATATCGTTTGTATATGTGAACTCTATAATCATTTTTATTCATTGTCAAAATAAATTATTTTTTCTTCTAAATATTAAGTGTTTAAGGCTAAAACTATAAAATTTATCACATTCAAAACAGAAATTTTATTTAGATCACATTGCTTTACCTCGTATTTTAAAAATAAAAATTCACAAATGAAACAAAACTCTCTATAAATTAATAAATATTAATTTACGCTATAAATTAATAAGTATTAATTTATAGATAAATTATTATCACTATAAGTTAGTAAAATATCATGGTCCCAACATTATTAATTTATAGAGGTTTTACTGTACTTCATTTTCAACCTTCTTCTTTTTGCTATTTTGAAAAAGGTTATCACAACTTGATAACACCAACAGAAAAACTAAAAGCTATTAATTAGTGGGGTTTCAGCCAAAAATGTTCATAGATACTTACGTTTTAAGTTTCAAAGTTTTCACAAGCTGAAAACTCACTAATTAATAGCTTTTAATTTTTCTA